TCCAGCCCAATGCTCCTGTCATAGTCTTCAATGGCCTCTTCATGCATGCCCATCTGCATCTTTGTCAAGCCTCGGCTACCGAATGCATGTTCGAAGTTGGGGTCAAGCTCAACGGCCCTGTCATAGTCTTCTAGGGCCTTTGAATGCATACCCAGCTGGCTCTGTGACAAAGCACGGTTGTGGAAGGTGCTGGGCTCGTTGCCATCTAGTGCAATGGACCTGTCAAAGTCTTCAATGGCCCCCTCAAACATGCCCAACTCGCTTCTCGCGAGCGCACGGTTGTTGAAAGCACTGGCAGAGTTGGGGTCCAGTTCGACCGCCCGGTCGTAGTCTTCAATCGCAGATTGATGCAAACCCAGCTTAGCCTTCGCTAAAGCACGGTTGCCAAAGGCAAATGCAAACTTCTGGTCAAGATCAATGGCTTTGTCATAGTCTTTGATTGCCTCATCGCAACCACCAAGGCTAAACTTGGCCAAAGCCCGGTTGCAAAATGCCCGGGCAGAGCTGGGGTCCAGGGCAATGGCCCTGTCATAGTCTGCAATGGACTCCTCATGCATGCCCAGCCCAAACTTCGACAAGCCGCGGTTGTAAAAGGCATTTGCAAAGTTGGGGTCCAATGCAATGGCCTTGTCGTAGTCTTCAATGGCCTCTTCATGCATCCCCAGCTTGAATTTTGCTAAGGCACGGCTGTAGAAGGCATTTGGGGAGGTGGGGTCCAGCTCAATGGCCTTGTTGCAGTTCTCAATGGCTGATTGAAGCTGTCGCAGCCCAATCTTTGCCAAGGCACGGTTGCAAAATGCACTTGAGGAGTTGGGGTCAAGCTTGATTGTCCGGTCATAGTCTTCAATTGCGGCAGCATACATGCCGAGCATGATCTTGGTTGACCCACGATTGTTGGAGGCGCGCATCGACGTGGGGTCCAGTTCTAGGGCCCTATCATAGTCTGCAATGGCCTCACGATACATCCCCAGCTCACTCTTGGCCAAAGCACGGTTGCAGAAGGCACACACTGATCCAGGGTCCAGCTCAATGGCCTTATTGCAGTCTCGAAGTGCTTGATACAGCTCCACCCTCCTCTTGACCAAGGCACGGTGTGAGACGGCCCGCTCCGATCCAACGCACTTGGGATCCAACCTGAACACCCGACGGCTTCATGACTCATTCAGACGGCGGAAGAGGCCGCCTAACCTCTATACCTGTTCTAAGGGCCTTATATTTAAATTTATGTTATACTATATATGATATATGTATTCCATTATGTAGCCTATATACCTTGCAATACTGGCGGCTGTCTGTCTAGGATCTCTCTAGTCAAATAGTGTAAGACATGCTCATGTTGTAAATCTGGGGGCCCCGGCGTCCCCTATCCCAAAGCTACCAGCAAGCAGGATACAAGAGGGATCATAAGGATTCTTCCCTGCCTGATCGCCTTGTCATAGTCTACAATGGCAGCTTCGTACATGCCCTGTCGAAACTTGACACCGGCGCGATTGCAAAAAATGCTTGCTGAATCAGGATCCAGCTTGACTGCCTTGTCATAGTCTTCTACGGCCGCTTGATGCAGCCCCAGCTCGCTCTTGGCCAAGGCCCGATTGCACAGCGCACTCACACACTTAGGGTCAAGTTCGATGGATTTGTTGTAGTCTTCAATTGCGGCTTGGTACCTGCCCAGCTTGATCTTGGCCAACGCCCTGTAGCTAAATGCACTCACGAAGTTGCCATCCAGCTCAATGGCCTAGCCCGTTGGTGCCCAAATCGCTTCAAAGCCAAACCCCAAGGATTTCCAGGGAAAAAAGCCTCTTCACCTCTCGTAACACACCCCCATCCATCCTAAGAAAGGGCGACCTGCAAAATCCTTAGTCCAACACCGGGTGGTCCGGTCAACGGGGCCAGATCTGACCCACCCCGACCGGTTGGCTGGCCGGTCGCCTGGTCGTAGTCTGCAATGGCCGCTGCGTGCATCCCCAGCCGGATCTTGGCCTCTGCACGGCAGCTGAAGGCACTGACAAAGTTCGGGGCCAGCTGGATGGCCTTGGCCCAAAAAGCGACGTTCTCCGGCGTTTTTCACTGGCTTTTGCAGGAAGCCTGGAGGAACACTGTCAAGAAACATATCTTAGGGGATTGAAGACCGAAACCAGGACATCCGAAAATCCTCTGATCTTTGGGGATCTCAGCGGGATTTTCAGCGGGAAGAAATGAACCAAATCCGTCCCCAGGACCGTCCCCACCCCGTGAAGACGGTCTCCGCATTCGCTGGTGACGCGTCGATTGATAGCCCTTCAGAGCATAAAATGGTCTAAAGCATCTTAGGCAACTAAGCCTCCAAAAAGGGTCTCTTCTAGGGCTCTATGGCCTTTTTCATCCTTTTGCTATTTTTCTCTCAGAAAAATTATCCACCCAAAAAGGTCTCCACAATTCTCCACCTTTTGAAGCCCCAGTCGCTTCGTCATAGTCCTCGAGGGCCTTCTGCGGCATCCCTTGCCGGATCCGGGCTAAGGCACGCCGGCAGTAGGCCGATGCACTGGTTGGATCGGACACCATGGCTGTGTCGTCCAAGACCTGAGGTGTTGCTGAAGAAGTGATTCTAATGTGTCCCAAGTGCTTTGTTGTTCAATGGTTTGATCCTGTCTATCATTGTTTTTCTGTATGTTATGTCTTGGCCATAGATTTGCATGTTGAGGGGTTACATGTTGATACATCTTCTTTCAAAAATGGTTTTATCATGGTTGAGCACCAGATCTTCCGGTTCCGTGCAAGTCCAGTGGTGCGGACGCTGAGGAAGGACCCCAGGCTCGACCCGACTTCAACACCAACGAACCAGGCTCAAAAGCCTGGTTCGATTTCTTCTGCAGGCGTGCGAGACATGCTTGATAGATTGCCGCCGGGCCGCTGCATCGTCCTTGTCCTCGTGCAAAGTGCTGAAGGCTCCCGGCAAATGTGCCTCCAGCCTGATCTCTTTGCCGCTCTCGTCCGTTGCTTGGTGCAGTCGGATCTTGGCCAAGGCACGATTGTTGAAAGCAGTGGCCGAAGTCGGGTCTCTGTGAATCGCCAAGTTGCAATCCTCCACAGCTGCTTGATGCATTCCCAGCTCGCTTTTGGCCAAGGCGCGATTGCAAAAGGCACCAGCCCGACCAGCCCACGCCTCATCTAGCTCGATGGCCCGATCATAGTCCTCAATGGCTGCTGCATGCATGCCCAGCCTTGGATTTGCTTATGTAAGGACCCCGGACAAAATAGAAACCTCAAAAAGGATCAAAATGGGGGTTCACAAACATGCCAAAGACAAATCACTACGCCACTGATATCCTCTGAGCCAAACCAGGTAGCTCACTCTTGGCCAGTGCACGATTGTAGAAGGCACTCGCGTGGGTTGAGTCCAACTGAATGGCTGTGTCATAGTCCTCAATGGCCGCATCGTGCATGCCCAACGCCACCTTGGCCAACGCACGGTTGAAGAATGCGCTTGCACAAGTTGGGTCGAGCCGGATGGCATGCTCATAGTCTTCAAGGGCATTTGCATGCTCTCCGAGCTCACTTTTTGCAAGCGCCCGATTGCAGAATGCGCTGGCGTACTTCGGGTCCAGCTGAATGGCCTTGTCGTAATCAGCAATAGCTGCCTCCTTCATGTCCAGCCTAAACTTCGAAGAGGCTCGCGAGTAGAAGGCACTTGCATTGGGATCCAACTTGATGGCTCTGTCATAATCTGCGATCGCCTCGCGATGCCGGCCAAGCTCACTCTTGGCCAAAGCACGGTTAAAGAAGGCATATGCAGACTTGGGCTGGAGAGCTAGAGCCTTGCCGCAATCCTCAATGGCCCCTTCGTGCATCCCCAGCCTCCTTTTGCCCAAAGCACGGTTGTTGAAGGCACTCGCAGACTTGGGGTCCAGCCTGATCGCCTCGTCATAGTCTTCAATGGCCGCCTCATGCATGCCCAGCTTGATTTGAGCTTCCGCCCGGTAGCTGAAGGCACTTGCGAGTCCCGAATCCATTTCAATGGCCTGGTTGCAGTCCTCGATGGCCTCTTGATACCTCCCTAAGCGATTCTTCGCCAAGGCCCGGTTGCAAAAGGCACTCGCCGAGTTCCGGTCCAGCTCGAGAGCTCGGTCATAGTCGTGGACCGCTCCGAGATACAGCCCGAGCCTGGAAGGCAAGGCTGGCGAGGCGAGGCCCAGGGGTGAAACCGAGCCACCGGAGCAGCAACCACAAACCGACCCACCGGGCACCCTCAAAGTCCATCTCCATTGCGGCAGGTCTAGCCACCCCATATGAGTGTGCATGATTCTGCAGGGAGACCTCCTCCCAAAAATCCACTGGAAGAAAGAAAAATACCAAAACCATCTAGGACCCATTAGTTGGTGAGGGTGACCATTGCATGCGACGCGTGCGAGAAACGTCAAAGACAAAAAATAAAAATAAAACAATTGGTTGTCGTTTCCCCATTAAAAAAACGCACCCATATAGATCCTGTGCCGGGTCATCTAACCGATGGATGGGTCGCCCTGTCCAATCCCGCCTGATTTTGGAAAATGCGCGATTGCAAAAAGCCACCGCGAAGCTGGGCTCTAGCTCGATGGCTTTGTCATAGTCTAAGATCGCTGCTTGATGCATGCCAAGCTCCCGCTTGGCAAATGCCCTGTTGCTGAATGCTGTTGGAGAGAGGGGATCTAAATCAATGGTCTTGTCGTAGTCTTCGATGGCGCCTTGATGCATCCCCAACCGAATCTTTTCTAAACCTGGCAGGGTTCCAAACCCCCGGTTCGTGGGACCCGACGAGGTTCTTTGACGGATCGTCCAAGCCTGGAGAGCCTGTCCCATGTCCATGTTAGATCCTCCGCCGATACAGACTGGGGCAGGTTTTTGAGCGGTTTGATTGTAAGTCCATTTGTACATATTTGTACCACTATAGAGGCGGGGTAGTAGTAGTAGTAGTAGTCGTCGTCGTCGTAGTAGTAGTAGTAGTAACTGGTAAGGGTCCAGGAATTCTCGCATCAGAACTGGTCATGATTGAAGAATAAGTGTCACCTTCACTTAGAAGAATATGAGTGAGTTGATGAAAAATCCTCCCAAATCACCAGGTGTTTCACCTCATACTCTGTACTCGCTGTCCTCACCGCGCCTCGGTTGCAGAATGCATGTTCAAAGTTGGGGTCCAGCTCGATGGCTCGGTCGTAGTCTTCCAGGGCCTTGCTGTGCAAGCCCAGCTGACTATTGGCCAAAGCCCGGTTGTGGAAGGTCCGCGCGGAATGGGGATCCAGCTGGATCGCCTTGTCATAGTCTTGAATGGCACCCACCTGGAATCGACAAGAGTCAAGAAAATCCAAGGCCATGGGAGTGGCACGGCTACTTGAAACTGCCTTCACGTGTTATGTGGTGAACTCGTCCAAAGGACCAACATGTCGCTTGAAACACCCTATATCGTGTTGCAGAAGTTGCACCAAGGTGATGGTCGAATCCCCCAAACGCGACGTCCGGACATCATGGTGCCAACGACCCAGCGACTTATCCGACCCAGCGACGTGCATGCCCAGCTCGCTCTTGGCCAACGCCCGGTTGTTGAAGGCACTCGCCGAGCGCGGGTCCAGCTGGACGGCCCGGTTGTGATCTTCAATGGCAGATCGATGCATACCCAGCTCGCTCTTGGCCAGGGCGCGATTGCCTCACGAGTCACTGGCCGGAACGAAGTAGATGGGTGGAACACTGCCAGCCCAGAGGTGCCCAAAGGTCTTTCTGCATGGAACATGTCCTACTAGAACGTCTGTTCCTGGGGTCCTTCCATCGTATATAATGTCAGAGTGTGGATTGATGGACTTCACAGCTAAATGAATCCTTTTTGAAATAAAGGGGGAGAGGTTGAGTCCCGCAGTTTTGTACGGGCACCAGGGTTGCAGTCTACAAAAAGCCTTGACTCAAGGGCATTGGGCGTGTACAAAATGCAACAACGCTAAAAAGTGCTTGATATGGGCCCGACGAACCAACAGCCAAGGGCATGGACGTGGAACCATTGCAGGGGCCAACCACGCCATCTCATTCACCAAAGGATAAAATGTCCCATTTCGATCGGAATGTGCTGGAAGGTGTCTATGTTGTAGATAAATGGTTGATATGATAAATAAATGTTACAGTATTATAATTATAGATAATAAACAGTATAATAAACATGCATTTATGTACATACATATCTTAGAGAGTTAGGGTCGTTGCGGATGTTTAGAGACGGTTTGCTCCAACGGAACAACCTATGACTTGCGGTCACAAACACGCCGAGCTGGCGTTGTATGAACCGGTCGCCTTCAACAAATACGTCTCACGTTACCGCTCCCTGCTCCAGTCCCAGCACAACCAGAGATTGGTTTGGCCAGATCCTGCTCCAAGCGGCAAGCTACCCCCGGTTTTGGTCGCTGGTGGGACACCCAAAAAAAAAACGGGGGGCTACCTGGGGTCTATCCTATTACCAGTAACCGTGGACGATGATGATTCGTAAAGGCCTTGTTCAAAAAGAGTGACATCGTCCGCTGGTACTGGTAATCGGATAGACCCAAGGTAGCCTGACTGTCACAGGATGTTGCAGGTAGGACAGGCCGGTCTACGGTCCACCCGGCTCCGAAGCCGCCAGCGGCAAGCCCTGGCGCTTGCGGCACGACCTGCTTGATTCGAGTGGCCGTAGGCGAAGGCAAAGTTCTCATCCAACCCGATCGCCCGGTTGCAGTCCTCAATGGCCTGCCAGCCGAGCAGAAAACCGACCCCTAGACCCGGCCGATGGCCCGGTAGGTTGAGCTCAAATCCCATCGTGTGACTTGTGCACGACAAAGCCAGGTCATGTTGAAAGGTCTTTGAAGGCTAGGGATTGAGAGAAGAAAAACCACGGCATGCTGGTGACATTTTGGTGACATTTTGGGGTGGCACACTTGGAGCCAAACCACCTCCGGCAACTGGCCCCGCTAAGGGGTGGTTAATGGATACCCCTTAACCTCTAAGGAGCTATAATTAGACACCCCATTAGGGGGCGCTAGAATAAACCTTTATGATAAATCCAATCTTCCGTGCTTTACCACTCCTGGGGGCACTTGCCGATTCTGGTGTCCAATTCCAACGGATGCACTCTAGTTTCAAGTCGCTTTGGCGATGTACAAGTGCAGCCTCTGAATGATCCAAACGAGACCAAACGAGACCTTCTTCCTGGCATACGCAGAACCATATTACCCATAACTGGCGTCAGAACCATCCCCGTTCTGATCCCTTTCCTCCCTTTCCGCATGGCTCGCCCGTGGGTCGGGACGCCGGTGCAGTGCGCTTAGGCTGCGACGACCGGGGGCAGTGCCCAGACACGGACGGTTTTTTAAGGGAGACCAAGGGACAGAGATAGGAGACCGGTTGGACTGGGAGACACGATTCGATATAGTATATATATATAATATATATATATATATATATATGTAGGCGATTCGAGATGTTCGAATGGGAGGTGTTTGATTGAATTGATCCCTTTCTCTTTGTATGATTTCCTATTATTTCCCTCTCCTTACTTCATGATGGCAAAAATTCCGCCATGAGGGTGGACCTTCCTAAGTGCATACCTTTGTCCAACCCACCCACCGTTTCGTAGGCGCGAACGCTGCGATGCACGTCAACAATCGTCAACATACATTATTTGGGCCTATCCCACTACCAATAACAGTAGATGATGATGATTATTATCAGTCGTAATAGTAAAGGCCTTTGTAAAAAATAGTGATAATTGCTTACTTTACGGGGAATAGGACAACCCAATCTAATATATAATATATATATAATGCCTCCAGATGCACGTGCTCCCACAGCACTGACCCGATAAAGTGCAACACCAGATCTCCAGTGCCACCTTAAAAAATGCATGTCACAGCACCTCACTCCTATAAAATGCTTGGCAAGGGTTCAAAAGGCACGGCAAGAATGGCCACCAAAACAAACAAAAAAACATGCCTATCAAATGCTGTCAAAGGTTCCTGAAAAACTGGAAAACTGGCCACTCTCCATAACATGAGGGTTCAACGCGCATGTCATAGCGTTATATTTTGAGCGTCTGCCACAACGTACTGCCAAGTGGAGGACATGATTCAGCAAGGTTATCGCTTTTAAAAAGCCTATCGATTTTGCAGGCTTTACCAAAATTCCTTATTTTTACCGCCTCTCTTTCTAGTCATTGCACGTTTTGGCGGTTGCTCTTTTGGAGGACCAAGCACGGAGGATATAGACCACCCTTTCCGTGGTGCTGGCCAAATAAGCCTTACATCACATCGATTTAACAGTTTTCGCAACGAGTCAGCGGCTTTTATAAAGACCCTGCCCTCCTTCAAGCGCTCTATCCAACCACAGGAAGCACTGAAATTTGCCCTGCCCATGGCCCACCGCGGATGGGCCTCTGCATAGAGATCAAGCCTCCTCTTGGCCAACGCCCTATTGTTGAACGCTGTTGCCGTGGGATCCAGCTCAATCGCCTTTGGCAGAGAGACTTGGTCGTGGAGGTCAGGCTGAGTGCTCACCACAAAAACGCTCGCCAAACAAAGGACGGATGCACAAAAAGGCACGGTGGCGGTGCAGACCGGAGAAACATGAGAAAGGAACATCTGCAGCAGCACCCGAGCACCGCAGCAGCACCCGGCTCAATGAATTGGTTTTGGTTTAAGGGAGACGATCTGCAGGAAAACCCCTTCGTTGTCACCCCCCAAAAGCATGGCCGTCCCGTAGATGTTTGTTCCCTTAAGCTCGCTTAAAGCCGTCTCAGCCGTCTTCGCCTGGTGAACCCGGGCGGCACTACCGACGGTCCGGTCCCACGACGGTGCCACCCGGCCTGATCATAATCCTCGATGGCCGCTTCGTGCAGCCCTAAACGGATCTTGGCCTCCGCCCGGTAGCTCCAAGCCTTGGCATTGCGAGGGTCCAAGCCAATGGCTCGGTCATAGTCTTCGATGGCCTTAGGGTAAAAGCCGAGAGCGGAGCGCTGGGGTTGTCCCTTCTAGCCTTCTAACTAAGAAGGTGCTTGATGCAACTGCTTAATGTCATGTTGTTTGGTGATGTTTGGTGTTCCGCCTTCTGGACGGGCGCTGGCATCTGTAAGCTGTTGATGCAGAATTCTCTATTGTCCTTGAACCCCAGATCTGGAAAGGGATCTCTTGCTAGCTAGATCCACCTCGCCACCTTCACCGGTCCAAGCGCACTTTTTCGCCCAAAACCCGATTCAACCGGCTCGGTCGTGAGGAAGGCAATCATCTGCGCCGTTTCGAAGATCTGGGCATACGAGTAGTAGATACCGTTAGGGGTCCAAGTACCTTCTCAGAAGGTACTTGGACATTCCAAGCCGACATAACAGTGTCTCCAATCACCTTCTCAGAGGGCCCGTGGATCCCTATAGGGTATATATAATAGCTCCTCACTTAGCTCCTCTTTCAACTGCGCAACATCTCATCTAGTCGAAAAGTCCACCCAGTAGAAATAGTATGAAGAAATGGCTAGCAATGGGTTTCCTCCCATCGTGGCATCTCATCCACGTCATCTCGCCTCAACTCTGCCAGTTACCTCACCCTATGCTGGCATTGCCGCACGTCGCTGCTTCCAAAGCACCGGGGTCAGACGCATGAAAACGAACACCCTTCGCTCCCAAACCCCCTCCCTTAGCGTAACTCCACGAGCGCGAACGAGCGGCGGATTGGTGCAGCCGCATCATGGTCTTCGCCAGGCCCCGATTGCAGAAGGCGCTCGGAGACTTAGGGTCCACTTCGATGGCCTTGTCGCAGTCCTCCCCCGCGCGGGCGGCGGTCGACTGTTCGAGACGAAGTGCTCGGACCAGGAGGTAGTGGGGTGGTAGTGGGGTGGTAGTGGGGTCCCATCAGGACCCAGGGATAGTATGCCTATAGTATGCCGATAGATGTCTTTGAGATACCACCCCAACTTAGGGGATTGAAACCCCACCCACTCTCCATGATTTCCACATGGAAATACCTACCAGGTCCTACCATCCCCCCACCTCGCCTGGATGTCGGGAGATCCAAAGTTGCCTTCACTCTCTGACAAGGAGCGCAACAGGGGACCTTCCTCATGATCACCTGGAGCGCTCGCCGATCGTACGTACGCGGTCGGGCGCCCGGGCGCGCCCGGTTCGGCCAGTCTTCCACCGAACCGACCCGGCACGATGCGAAACAAAGGCGGCCGGACTGGTGGGCACCACCGGTTCGGCGAAGGTGGTGGCGCGAGGAGAAGCCGCGGGGAGCGCAACAGACAGAAATCCATGGGAGAAAGGTGGTGGGATGTAGCTTGGGGCTGTTTTGGGGGTGCTTGAAATGCTTCAATATGGTGCCCAAAGCTCCACATGACATGCGTTTGGAACCAAAGGCTGCATTGGTTGAAAAATATGGGAAAATAAGTGATGAGTAATGATTACGTTACTTCAAATCAACTGAGGCAATATGAACTGTTTTGACTACACACAGTCGTCAATAGATACTTCTCGGATCTGCTCGGGTCATGTTCGTTCTATTCCTTCCTGTGGCCCCGCTCCGTTCCAACTCCTGTGCCATAAAAACCACATCTTCGCGGAACATCTTCTTCGACCCCAGGCACGATGCCGTCGACGGCGGGGCGAAGAGGAGGGTGTACCGGTGTCCTCCGCCATGGCCCACACGCCGCGCGCGGGTGACTCGGAGCGCGCGGCGGCAAGGCGGCCAGAAATGCACCGCAAGCGCGCAGGGGGTGCAGTGTTTATATAAACACCGCAAGCGCCGCACGGGGTGCAGGGCTGAGCGTTGGGATGTTTTCTGCCTGGAAAGACCTGGCAATGCGATAATTCATGGGGAAGGGTGCCCCAAGATGGGTTGAATGGGTTCACGTCATCTGCATGTTCTTGTGGACATGGCCTACAGCGCCATCCCAGCGAAACCACAGAAAACACTTCGATCACGGTGTTGCTCACCTATGCTTGATCAATGCTACCGTACTACCGTGCGTTGAAGAAATATATCGGATGATCAGGATTGATCAGGTTCTTACTTTTGCATCTCTGGCAGCCGAAATCACAGCACGTGTTCAGCACGTGTTCCGCTCCTCTGCGACTTCTTGAGACGACCGTGCGAATCGAAGCAGCGACTCGCCACAACGAAGCAGCGACTCGCTGGGTCGTCGCGCGTATGGGCCCCCTTAGTAGTGGGCTGGGGCTTCCAGCCAGGTGGACCGCAGGTCGAACCAGTTTCTGTTTCAAGATTGGCTCGAAGGGAGAACCTCCTTGGGCGGTTCTCAGGCCCTGACATCATTGGCCAACCAACATGGTAGAACATGCCAAAAAAGGACTCCCAAATCCCACACTTCGCACCCTGGTAGATCCAACCAACCCCACGCCGCCCCACCCCAGTGACCCACGCGTTGTTCCGGCCCGTTGTTCAGGCGCCCCAGCTCACTGGGCTTGAAGAAGGCGTCCAATTCGACGGTGGCACCTCGCGGACGGCGCCCCGTTGTGCAGGCGGCCGACGGCCCAAGGCGGCGCACCAGGGAGACCGGGTGAGGTTGGTCGAGCCGAACTCAGCTGGGCTTGATGGGGACGGACTGCGGGGGGAAGGGCCATCTCTGACATGAAAAAATGGTGATAAAATGTGCGCATCATGTGTATCAGAAGTGATCTGTTTGTTTCAGTCTGGAACGTTGGGCGCTTCTGCACCATCGGTACGAATGAGACTTCAACTCGCTCCTGAACGTTTCCAAGAGAAATTTGGACTCCTTGGACCAATTTATGACAAGTGTTCCTTGCTAGAAACCCAAAAGTACAAAAATTAGATTTTGGGTGGCCAATGGTGGTCATTGGGTGGTCTTGTATACGGTATTATACCTCTGTGCTGGTTTAGCGTAGTTGCCGGGGTTACGGGGTTAATCCGAGGCATCTGCGCGGTAAAAACGGTAAAATCAAAAATTTTCTGTTTTTACCGTTTTTACCGGGGGGGCGCCCCTTTTTCCCTACCATATCCGCGGACGGTAAAAATCAAACATTTTATGTGTTTATCGTTTTTCCCCGGGGGGAGCTCCTGTTTCTTCTACCATATCTGCAGTAAAAACGGTAAAAGTATGTGTTTTAAACGTTTTTACCAGGGGGGGTGCTCCTTTTTCTTTTACCATATCCGCGGTAAAAACGGCAAAAATCGATTCGTTTTTACCGTTTTTACCGGGGGCGCTTCCTTTTTCAATACCATATCCGCGATCATAACGGTAAACATAATTGTTGTTCTTTTTGTACCGTTTTGATCGAGGGGGGCAAACGGGTCTATGTTTTTTTCAGTTTTTAACAGAGGGTCACCGCTGCTTCTTCTGCCATATCCGCGGTAGGTAAAAATCGAAAGTTTTCGATCCAAGTGATGTAGGCTTTCATTGCCCTGCAAAAGTTAAAAGTCATGAAATGTTGATCGATCACCAAACTCCTCCTGTCGAAAAGGGCACACGCTCCTATATGATAGGAGGAGTGAACCCCACCTGGTTATAGGAAGATACCCGGGCTTTAACATTAAACCTTTTTGTTGACAGAGGTCTTCTAGCTTGCGACCTGGTCCCGAGGCAACGGTCCAAAGTGAAAATTACTACGTTTGTTGTCTACCTTTTTTAATGAAGAGTCGCTCGCTCTTTTTGCTTCTACCATCTCGTTAAAAATCAAAGTTGTGTTATTCTCCGTTTTTGTAGGTGGACTTGTCCTTTTCTTTTCTACCATCTCCGTGGCAAAACGGTAAAAATCTTTGTTTTTAATCTGTTTTACTGGGGGGCGCTCCATGTTTAAATTTCATATCTGCGGTAAAAACGGTAAAAATAGATTTTTTTGTGTTTTACCGGTTTTACCGGGGGGGCGCCCTTTTTTCTCTACCATATCCGCGGTAAAAACAGTAAAAATCGAAAATGTTCTTTGTTTACCATTTTTACCGGGGGGGGCTCCTTTTTCTTCTACCATATCCGCGGTAAAAACGGTAACAATCAATGTTTTTTTCCGTTTTTACCGGGGGGGGCTCCTTTTTCTTCTACCATATCCGCGGTAAAAACGGTAAAAATCGAAAATGTTATTTTTTTTACTTTTTTTTTCCTGCGGCCACCCAAGGTCTAATTCGTGGATGAGAATGATGAGAAGACTCATCACACACTCCGATCCGGGCCAGCCCTTGTCATGTCCGGTCCGAGTTCCGGCGCCTTGCCCAATCTTCTCGACCTGAGGTCGGTCGATCCCTCAGAGTGGTAGGCTGGGGTTACCAGGTGGACCCCGAACCGAAGGTGCTGCTAGACCTATATACGACAGGTACACTCCTTCAGAGCCATATCTCCAAGTGGATGTCCCACCACCGCGTCGCGAAGATCGCGAAGACTCGGGTTGACCATGAGGACCATCAATCCGTCGACCGGAGTGACTCGGCCGTGGTGAACTCCGGAGATCCTTGTGCAGCCACTCGGAGTGCACGTACTACATTCATCTACCAGGGCCCACGGGCCGACGGGCCGGGGGTGTCTAACAATAGGCCCCTTAGATGTTAAGGGGTATCCATGAACCACCCCTTGCCGAACAGGGGGCCCTTTTCCACCTTCTTTCCCGACCGACCTTGGCGTTCAGGAGGCCAAGCACCCAGGAGTCTTTTGGAGTGTTTGACCTACCGTCCAAAATCATGGAACGCCAGAGGACCAGCCCCCGCAGAACAGCTGAAGGACTCAAAATCGGCAAGTCCGATGGTGGGTGCTTCATGGAGGTTACGGGTGCCTTATCCACTCACTCAGGGACCAAACACCACCCCGACCTGTGACTCTTGGTCTGCGCTTGGTGCAACTTGCACAAAAGTCTCGCAAGGAAGCGAGCTAAATGTTCATGCAAGATGATGCGGTTGTGTCCTTCCGTCCTCGCTGTGATCTCAGCATTCACCTGTGGACTAGTCGGACTACCCAATCCCAGACACTCCATGTATCGCATATTTACCTACATTGGGGTGGTTTTGGGGGTCAATGTAGGTATATATGGCAGTCCCATGGAGTGTCTGGGAATACTACCCACTACTGCAACCACTAGAAGAGCCTCTCCAGTCCGGTCGCCACCGGGTAAACCCGGTCTGGTCTCCGAGCGAGTCGGCACCAGTGATTCGGCTCCAGATCGCCTTGGAGGCGACCGCCAGGACGGGAGTGACGGGTGCGACTTGGAAGGAAGGAGGAAACGGATCCATAAGGTATATCCATGGTGAGTGCTCATTCCCTCATTCCCTACTGAGCACCAGTCAGAGGAGGAGGAGCGAGAGAGGAACTCTATGATGGGGGCACCAGTGTTCAACAATCATGCAAGATACGCAAGCTCCTGAAAATTGCTCTCTCGTTCAGCGCTGACTTAGATACCTTTTCAGGAGTATTCGTCTCCATCCTGTCTGGGTGTCCTGGCGATCCCTTTGTCAAGCAGTGCAGGGTAGTCGAACGCCAGGACACCCAGATGGTCAGATGCTCCAGGGTTCTGCAAGCTTCGGTCCAGGGGGATTGGGCTTCGTTCAGCTCCCGCAGCTCCCTTCAGCTCCCTCGGCTCCCCCCGTCCCTGTCATGGCACCTATCTTCACCGACGCAGTGCCCAGGCCTGGTAGACAGCAGAGCCGAGGTTCCGCGTGACCAATCAGTGGAGGTCCTCAAGTGATCCTGATTTCTGGGCCCCAAAAGGACTCACCTCGAAGGAAGGTGCTGAAAGCTAAACCATCCCATGGGACTGGAAGAAACTATTAGGATCCATGATCTATTAGGTTATTGCATCTACCCCCTTTATGACTTTATGAGTCTAATGTATTATGTGTGTATAGATGTGTGTAAAGATATTCCATACAATACATGGAGTAATTATAGGGGGAAGGTGGTGTTCATAAGTTCATATCTAGGTCCTATAGGTCGAGTGGACTTGTCGACCAGGTCACTAGATACGTGTGAGGTCTCGCACAAGGTCGCCTTCCACCCAACCATTCAAAGAGTTCGGCGGTTGACCTGGTGCTCTAGTCTCCCCTGAGTAAAACAATGATGGGTTTCCTTGGTCAAACCCATGATGAGTTGGGTGAGTTCAGATAGGCAAGGTCACTTCGGAGACTGCTTTCAGCTTGTTTTGGTGGAACTCCCTTGAAAATTGGAAGATCTACGAAATTGACAATCTGTTCTTCCCAATGGTGAGAGCTCGGTCACCACCGAGCTAAGATCTCCAGGTCTTCAAGCTGCCGAGCTCCGAGCTCCGGCTCTGAGCCGAGCTCCACCGATCCCACCTCTTCGTCGAGCCAAGCAGGGGTCTGCTAGGGCTCCAGACTGTCATCCCTCACCACGTTGGCATTCATCACCTTCCCATGCAGCAGGGGGGTTCCGAGCTTTCTGCAAGTGGGTCTTGCCCAGTGGGGTGGCCCATCGCACACACCCAGTCTGTCGACTCATAGATGCAAATCCTCTCCCCCATGCTTGCAGCTTCGGAGGAACTTTGATATGATTCCAGATGCAGCATCAGATAGCATCAGCATCAGATGCACCACCATGTGGTAGAAAACAACACATGGTCCTTGTGACATTGCTGCACCTCGCACTTCGGATCCGAGATGAAGGAACAAAAAGAACGCACGGAAAACGCCCAAAACGCCCTGGGCACCGGTGAAAGGGCCCGTTATGGGTCCAACGGCCTAGGAAGGCCAGGAGGTTCAGTGTCCAGGCTGCGCCTCCAGTTCCATCGTGGCATCTTCCTCAGCGACCGAGAAGGTGAAGAGGTTCCCGTCCTGCCCACGACCGCGATCCAAGCACCGCGCATGGGAAGGGACAGCGGTTTCAGATGAGTTCATCGCCACTGGCTGGAGGGGGGCGGGAACTTCTTAGACTTGTGGCATTGGGGTGGGCGAAAATGCCAAAGGGTCAAGGTCCGCAATGGCCTTGACACTCCAAACTCTGACCTCTTGGAGTGTGAGAGGGGCAAATCGTGGATCCATGCAGATTGCCCTCCCCTCCTGCCAATCAGGATTGAGGTTGTTGTCGATGGTCGGTGTCCTGGAGCGGCGCGGCATTACCCCCAGTCTGGAATCATCAACCAGCACCCGTCACCCGACCCTACAGGGGACCAGGAATCATATTCCAGGCCCGTCCCAACCCTCAGCTAAAGACCTGGCAGCGAAGGTCCTGGAATATAATGTAGAAAACCACATTGAACCTAAGGTAGCAGAAGAGGGATCGGCTGGAGTGCCCGGAACAAACACAATGGAGAACTGCCTGTGAAGAAACACACGCTGAACAGGACCGCTTTCCCTCAACATCTTCTGTCCCCTCCCACCAAGCCAATTAAAGGCAAATAGATATATACCAGGTTACCAGCACCCTCCAGCAGGTCTCCTTTGGAGGTTTGTTCCCCAAACAGTGTGGACACACCACGGCGCTACGGGTTCTTGCTTAGATTAGATCGCTCAAGCGTGGGGGCGTGTGCGGCTAATTCGCTGCTATTTACGGTGCATTCATGCCTCTCGACTTCGTCAATGTGCATTTCGACTGCGCAGGCAAACAAAGTCTGCCTGCCGGCGGCGGGTGCTTCTAGCGACTGCGGTCTCGTTGTGGTGCCGTGCGCATTCTTGCACATGGTGGTGACTTTTCGTGGCAGGTGCAAGGGAAGCCTCGCGCTTTGGTGCTCCAAAGTCGACTTTTCGTGACAGGCACACGCTCACACTCACACTCTCACTCTCACTCACTCTCCCACTCTCACTCTCACTCACTCTCCCACTCTCACTCACACTCACTCACTCACTCACTCACTCACTCACTCACTCACTCACCACCGCCGCCGCCACCGTCACCACGATCCCCACCTTGATCACCCCATGCGTCTAGATCTCTAGACTTTCTGCTTATAGACCTCACACACACTGTTTGGGGTCTCTTGCCGGGATAATTAGGCCGAAACAGGTTTCAATTGGTGACCTGTTGGAGGTGCTGGTATAGTTCTACTCAGGATTCCTGGCCCACCATCGATTTATATAAATTCATAGCTGGATCCCGAACAACCCACTGGTTGCCGTATGAAAATAAATGCACCTATATCAAACCCAGTTAAACCCAGTCAACCTTTCCTTTCAAATGGTCCAACGGAAGGCGATGGATGCCCAAAACTCTTCGCATGGCCCGGTTCTTCAGTCCCACCCCGACCGATCCACCGGACCGCGTTCCCTCCATCGCCTCCGCTGCAAGTCCCCCACCTTCACGATGACGTAGGGATCCGACCTCGGGGCAGCCACTGGACGGCCCAATTTACTGGATTCCAGCCCCTCACTTGCTAAAGCAAGGACAACTCCAGCTAGCTGCTGCTAGCTTTCGTGACTTGCATAGCCACATCTCAAAAAGATTTAGAAGATGAGGACGTCCTCGTTGTGAACATGTTGCTACTTGGAGCTCGCAAGCGAGATCACTGCTACTAACAGCGGCAAAAACACAGGTGCTACGGATCGGACGCCGCCGCATTTTTTCGATCTGTCCAACCTTCAGGATTGGGCGTGAAGAAGAGTGGCACAAGCCACAGAAAGCGTGACCTTGGGTCCAGATCACCCAGCGCGTGTTTTGCGTCTGCAGCTTCAAATGGATTTACCTGGTGTCTGACAGCAGACATTGCACATACTCTTCTCAAGCATGAGTGTATTACACTTCGCTGCTCACTTCGCTGCGCAATGATGTCAGTTCTGCGCTGGATCAGAATTTGGTGTCGTGAGCCTCACCCCTTCCAAAAAGGGTGTCTAGATTTGGCTCCGACCGCTGGGTAGATCTGACGATCACTCCCGCGGTTGCGCGGGAGGACCCCGGCCGGTCTGTACCCCCCAAGCTGTTCAGCTCGAGGTTCCTCAAAAAAAACACAGCCCCGAGGCGCCACTTGCGGATGGCGCGCGAGACATTTGCGGTGCATTTACGGGTCGAGGTTCCTGCAGCGCTTCCGCGGCGGAAGCGGGTGGCCAGAGGGTGGCCGGTCCAACTAGCAAGTCTTATGGTGGACCCGTATCCAAAGGAAAACCAACGATAAAAACATACCTGGACCTTCAAGGAGTGTCGAATGGAGGTCCCTTAGTAGTGGGCTGGGGCTTCCAGCCAGGTGACCCCGAACTGGAGGCGCTGGTATAAAGAAACGCATGGACTAGCTGCAGACTTGAGGTCGTTTTGTTTGGCACGGAGGGTCCGAAGCTTCCGTGCTAAGGAGAGCCGAAGCATCTCGAGGATGCTTCATGATAGTACTGGATTGTCATGGACCCTCCACGTGGAAAATGGGTGCAACATGTACAAGTACCTTACGATAAGTAGCTGTCCCGTTTTCTGTCAGGAATCCAGGTGCATCCATCATGAAAAATGGCCCAGTCTCAGTGACTCTACCCATCTCGGGTCCCCGGGGTCCGGGTTCATCGACCCAATTCGACCGCATCGACCGCCGCTGACGACCGCGGACGCATCGACCGGTGCGCTGACGACGGGGGGATCGGCGAAGACCGGTCGTCGACGGTGCCAGTCACAGGAAGTTGGGTAGTGTTTAGTCCTTAAGTGGGTAGTGGGCACCCCGACTTCCTCCATGGATCGCACCCCTAAGTGAGTGGATAGTGATCATCCCCTAGTCCTTAAGTGGGTAGTGGGCACCCCGACTTCCTCCATGGATCGCACCCCTAAGTG